AATGAAAAGCAAGTTTTGAGAACTGCAATATTCTTCATTGTATTTTATAATCAGTATTAGACAGAATACTTGGGAAGATAGAAAGGTTAATCTAAATAATGTATAAGAAAACCATTTTCAATGTTTTTACCATTTCATGCAGTCCTAGGAGTTAGTGATGTGATACTGAAGTTTGTGAATGACTGGCAGTTTGAATAACTTTAAAAGGGAATTGGATAAATTGATGGAATATAGAGCTATCAGTGGCAACTAGTCGTGGTGCAGGTAGACTCACTTTGGTACCAGGAACAATGCATCTCTGTGTATTGGTTGCTTTCTACATGGTTACACAAATGTCTCTTACCAGATAGAACTTCAGCATATACTGAAGTTCATCATCTTAGTTTTATTGCACATTAATGAAACAGTTATAAAAACAATTTTTCCTTCAACTGAAGTGTCTTGTTTTCTCTTGTAGCAGGGCAGGAATATATGTAGATTTCTCTTTAAAATCTGAAAAATTTAAGTGACCAAATTATGTCTTCTATAGACAGGTATGAGCTACGGCATCAACTACTATTATTTTTAAACTACCACTTATATGGGGTTATATGTGAGTGTAGATTTACAAGAAAAAAGCACTTGAATTGATTATCAGTATGTTTCGTTTTGGTCACATTTTTTAAAAATGTGACTAGTTTCATCAAGATGGAGGAGCATATTTAGATTTCCTGCAGTGTAGATACACAAAATTGATGGCCACATGAGCAATTCTGATGTGTGTTTGCCTGCACATCAGGTATAATGCATGACATTCTTAATCCGCCAAGTGGTATACAGATTGAAGCTGGATTGTGCCTCAGCAGAGTAGATTAGTTGAGTGGGATTATGTATCACTTCTCATGAAGTGATTTTCTCATGTTTTTAAAGTGGCGGTTCATGTTGATATAACCACATTCAGAAATTGTTGCCAAGTATATACCTGTTTATGTGGAGAGTCAGACCTGTAGCTTTGGATTAGTTGAAAGTGTGCTGTGATTTAGTAGGTTGAAATTGCAACCTGGTATTATTGGCATGAAGTTGGTGTTTTAGGCTGGAATCCTAGGCACAATGATTTTCTGGCTAATATAGTGCTGGTATTTAACTTGGGGGTGGGGGACTCAATCTTGCAAGCAGAAATGATAGGGTGTTTTTAAAAAATGCAATTTTGATAAGTAGTCATTTAGTGCCCCTTCTTGCTACATGGATTTTATAAGCAGCTGCCTTTGTTTACAGATGAAGGGAAACATGGTTTTATAGAGTAATTTGAAAACGAGTCTCTTTATATCTGGGAACTGAGGATTTAATTCCTGCCAGTTAGCTAAGTAGTTAAATATTTTTAAAGGAAATAAGAATTTTTAAAAAATCTTCAGTGAATTCAAGGCTGCAGACAATATGCATAATATTTTATGAAAACGACCCTCATATTTAAAATCTGGCATTATATGTTATGCATTGTAGCACCAAGTCCACATCTACCTTTTAGAAAATTAAAACACATAAATTCTGTTTAGTGTTTGATATGCACTGTACTAGCTGAAAGCTATAATGGCCCTAAAACCTTGGGTTGCTTTTCACCTTTCATAAATTCCTGGGTATATTCTATACAAAAAATAATTTTCAGCTCCGTGGCTCATTGTTATTCAAACGTGATTGATTGTCGTCATTTACTCAGTGAGGAAGTTAAGTGCTCCTGTCATTTCCAAAGAGTATAATTGGGACGTTTCACAGGTCAGTGCTGGTGACAGGTTTCCCCTTTGATTAGTGTTGGACTGATAACAAAAATTACAGTTGCCAATGATTAATGCTTCCTATAGTGCTTAAATGTGCAGCTCATGGATTGTGCCTAAACAAAGTGAATTTGCATCTTACTATTTTTCTTCTTAGTCGAGCTTTGTGAGGGTTTCAAAGTTGGAGACCCTGCAAGAGTGCACGGATGTTGATGCTCAGTTTCACATCAGCCTCTTGCACTAAAGACATTAGTTTTAGCTGGGGCTCTTTTTGTAAAATACATTTTAAACCCCAGTTCTCTAGGAGTCCATATAAAATCAAACTAGGGGAAACTTGGGAAATTTTTCTTCAAAATAGCATTTCACTTTTTCAAAGTTTGCCTTTAGAACAGTGCAAGTGATGCATTTTAAATGGTCAAACACTATTGCTGTTTCAGTGTTTGTTTGTTTATACCCCGCCTATCTGGTCGAAATGACCACTCTAGGCGGCTTCCAGACAGATAAAAATGCAGACTTAAATACATATAACAAAAAATAAAAATATACAAAGTAGACAATTAAACAATAAGCAATAAAGAAACAATAAGCAAATTCTTCAAGATGGCAAAAAATAGCACATAATAGGTAAAGAAGGGGAGAAAATGTAATTGTTATCTGGAGGGAAGGCCTGCTTATACATCCATGTTTTTAGATTGGTCTTGAAAATACCCAGCGACGGGGCCTCACGAATCTCTGGAGGCAAGTTGTTCCAGAGGCGAGGAGCCACCGCCGAGAAGGCACGATTTCTTATTTTTTCCTTTCAGGCCTCCCTCGGCGTAAGGCTCCTCAGCCTCACCTCCTGACTCGATCGAGTGACCCGGGTAGTTCTTGGTGGGAGAAGGCGTTCCGTCAAATATCGAGGCCCTAAACCGTTTAGGGCTTTATACGTAAGCATCAACACTTTGAAGTCAATGTAGAACCGAATGGGCAGCCAGTGCAATGCGGCCAGAGTGGGTGTGATGTGTTGGAATTTTCTCACACCACTAAGAAGTCTGGCTGCCGCATTCTGCACCACTTGGAGTTTCCGCATCAGCCTCAAAGGTAGCCCCACGTAGAGCGCGTTACAGTGGTCTAATCTTGAGATTATGAGCGCATGGACCAAAGTAGTGAGCACCCCAACATCGAGATAGGGTCGCAGCTGGGCTATCTGAGGACGGTGAAAAAAGGCGGTGCGGACCACCGACGCCACCTGAGTCTCCATAGTGAGTGTTGGGTCTAGATGGAACCCCGGACTGCGAACCCCACTCATGATAGCAAGAGTCGCCCCCCCAAAAGAGAGATTCCCAAACCGCCTACTGTGGGGGCGCCCACCCTCAGTACCTCCATCTTGTCCGGGTTCAGCCTCAGCCCATTTTCCTGCATCCATTGCAGTACGGCCTCCAGGCAGCGCTGGAGGGACAGAATGGCATCTCCTGCAGTTGGTGAGAAGGAGATGTAGAGCTGGGTGTCATCAGCGTACTGAAGACACGAGGCCCCACACCCCCTGATGACCCCACCCAGCGGCCTCATATAGATGTTAAACAGCATTGGGGAGATAATCGACCCCTGTGGAACCCCGCAATTGAGACTCCTCGGGGCCGAGACTCTCTCCCCAAGCTGCACTCTCTGGGGGAGATCCTCCAAGAAGGAACGGAGCCAGGCAAGCGCCAGGCCTCCGATTCCCAGCTCAGAGAGCCTCCCCAGGAGGATACCGTGGTCAACGGTATCAAAGGCCGCTGAGATGTCGAGGAGGACCAACAGAGACATTTTACCCCTATCGGCTTCCCTCTACAGGTCATCGTACAGGGTGACCAATGCCGTCTCTGTACCGTGGCGCAGCCTGAAGCCCGACTGAAATGCATCCAGGGCATCTGTTTCGTCCAAGTGTGCCTGAAGCTGGTCAGCCACCACCCTCTCGACCACTTTGCTCATGAAAGAAACATTGGCGATGGGCCTATAGTTGCCAATTTTGTCCGCCGCCAAACTAGGTTTCTTTCTAATGGGCCTAATGAGTATCTCCTTGAGGGCAGGTGGATTCTTTGTTGCCACTGCTGTTTAACATCTCACTAATCCCCATGTCAGTATTTTTAAATGAAACTGGATTGAGCTACTATATTTCAGAACAAGCAGGAAAAATCAATCTGTTATACACGGATGACCTAAAACTATGCAAAAAGTTCCACTGAGATAGAATCACTGCTAAGCACTGCGAGAATATTTAATGAAGATATTCAAATGAAATTTGTAATTGACAGATGTGCAGCACTGTCTATGCACTGTGGCAGGATCCAAAAACTAGATGGAATAGAGTTTAAAATGACAACATTATAAGATCACTCTTAAGTGATGAAAATCATAAATATTTTGGAATACTAGAAGCAGATAACATCCTGCACACAAAAATTAAAGAACTGACAGAAAGAGTCAAGGGAAATCTTAAAATCAAAATAGGCCCAGAAAGTTACTGGAAAGCTTTGCAGGTCAAATGAAAATTTTTAGTAGGAGCAACGATGTAGTGTACTGATATTTGGGTTTAGTTCTGTGAATCAGCCAAATGTGTATAGTAGGACCCCCCAATCCACAATATTGCTATCTGCTGATTCACTTTTCCACCGCCTGAAAATACTAAATAATATCTCTGTATATACGTATTTCCAGGGTGCATTCACGAGAACTGACCATGTTGTGTATAAGGTTAAGTATTATCCATGGAGGACAGGAGACTTGGAACCAATCCTCCACAGATACCATGGTCATACTATTTAGTTTTCACTTTTATTTGTTTGCTGTTTGTATCTTCAAGCCCTGATAGCTCCAGTCATTTTTGTAACCAAATATAAGCATGTGGAAGTAAGTTATTACTACTGTTTTTCCCTATTGTTGTGACAAAGTTATTATACAAAAATGATGCCGTTATGCAGAAGGTTCAAGTTTGTCAGTGCTGTTTGATTTATTGAAGATATTTTGCTATGTACCTTTAAAAATAGAAAATACAAGTAAATTTAAGATAAAAGGAAGAATGTCATCCATTCCACATCCTGGTGAAGATTATACAGTATACCTGCAAATATTGTTTTACTTGGTAAATCATTGTTTTATATATAATTTGGGGCTTAGAGTTAGAGATAAATGGAATGCCAGTTCTTAAGTTACTAAATACATAGCTGCATGTGTGGGACATTCAGCACTGTATACTAGATATGCACCTGTGATGCATTTGAGTTTTCTTGATAGGTAAAAGCTACAAATGATGATGATGACGACGACGATGACTTTGTAGAAGTGCCTGAGAAGGAAGGCTATGAGCCACACATTCCTGATCACCTCCGAAAGGAATACGGTGAGTTTGTCCAGCTGTGAAAATTCTGGATGTTACTGCTGCAGTAAAGCAAATAAACAGCCATTATGAGGTAATAAAATGATCAGTGGTGTGGGTAATCTTTCTGACTGCTGTGAGGGAATCATTACATAGGTAGGGAAGGAGCAAGACTTAAAAAAAACCAAATATTCTCTAGGAGACAAGTTGGGTCAGTGACTTGTTTTATCCACTCATATTTTGATGTAACCTTGAGTAAAGAAGTTGCTGTGCATGTATATGCAGAGGTATATAGGTAGCCATGCACAGTAAAAAAAGAACAATTCATAGACTAGAATGAATATCTGTTACTTAGTACAAATGGTGATAACATGATAGAATAAGTTAGAATTGTACTACTTTTTGCAGATGATGCCCCCAACCTTTGGGAAATGGTAAACCAGGGTTTAGAAAATAGGAGCATAAAACCAGTTTTATAAGCCTGGCCAAGAGCCTGCTTTAGAAGAAACTATTCTTACAGCTTTATTTAATTACTTTACCCCATTCCTAAATCTAAATGCTTTTTTGGAGTGCATCCCTATGTATACAAGGCCACTGTTACCTATGTTTACTCCCAGTTATTAAATGTGTAAAGTGTCTGGGGTTAAAAATCTTCTCAGCTTTCATATATTATTGCTGAAGAAAATGGTCTAATCAGGAAATAATTACACTTTTGGCATTCTGTCATTAGGTTTCTTGGTTCACATTTCACAACACTGCTGTACTTGCTGAAACCCTAGTAAGTGAAACAGAAACTGCTCCCCTCCATTTCTTTTTTAGGAATGGTAACAATATTGTTACCTAGCGGTTCGAAAGCATGCGAATGCAAGTAGATAAATGGGGACCACTTCGGTGGGAAGGTAACAGCGTTCCATGTCTAAGTCGCACTGGCCATGTGACCATGGAAGATTGTCTTTGGACAAACGCTGGCTCTATGGTTTGGAAACGGGGATGAGCACTGCCCCCTAGAGTCGAACACGACTGGACAAAAATTGTCAAGGGGAACCTTTAACCTTTTAACAATATTGTAGAAGGACAAGGCTTTCCATGTGGGTGCACTGTGGCAGTGCTATTGCCTACAGTCTTCTGCTGTTTGTCATCATGCATCTACACAAACAGAAATAGTCACAGTGACTTAAGAATCTGATCCTCTATATTCACGTTTTGAGTATGAATATGCATGCATTGCCGAGGCAAAGAGGCAGTCCTGAAACCAGCAAAAGCAGGGAGCTGGACAGGGGACAGATTGTATTTGTCTTCAGTGTGAAAGGGATTGTCACTCTCGAATTGGCCTTTTCAGCCACACTAGACACTGTTCCAAGACCTCTATTCCAGAGGTCGTCAACCCCCGGTCCGTGGCCCGGTGCCGGTCTGTGGCCTGAGCTGGACCAGGCTGTGGAGACAGACCTCCCACATCACCTGCATGCACTTCCCTCACCACAGCTGCTTTGCGCACGCGTGCATGTGCCAGCACACTGAGTGCTCCCCCCCATACATGTGCCCAAGCACCCATGCGAAGGGGTAAGTGGGCGGGCATGCAGGTGCTCCTGAGCATGCGTGTAGGGGTATGGGAGCACTCATTTTGGCACTGGCACACGCGCTCTCCCCCACCACTTCGCACACGCACCAGAGAGAGTGTGTGCATGCTCCCAAGAGCACAGGGAGTGGCCCGCCTTCCTCAGAGGCTTAACCGGTTCGGTTCGCAGTCTCAGAAAGGTTAGCGACCACTGCTCTATTTAGAGCACGTTACCATAGTCTCTTGAGATTGAAGGATTCTTCAGTTGTGCAAGATTCCTTACCTTATTTGAAAGAATGAAACAATGCACACTTTCTTCTTTGAGGTTTCTAGGGAGTCCTCTAGGATATATGCAAATTAGTCCCTTTAGCCTCACCCATCAGGAATGTGGCCCGTAGGCTGCTGGCAAATTTGAAAAATGGGCCTTGAACCCTCTGGGGTCACCCACCTCAACCTAGAGTTACAGTAACATTTGTTTTAATTGAGTAGTGCTACTTGTCTGAGGTTCCCTTTAAAAGAAAAGCAGCAATAGTTTATCATTGAAAGGAAAACAAGTGTTTAGACTTTTTGTACAAAAATGAAGGAAATATGACTCCTTAATTTTATTTTTTATGAAATCAATACATTTAGGAAAAAGCAGGAAAAGAGGCCCATGAAAAGTTTATAATTTGTATGTATGGAGTTCCACACTGCTAAATTAAGGGATATATTTGAAGGTGTGCAATGGCATCCATTGATTAATGACATCAATTAATCAGTTACAGCTTACAGTCATAATTTAACAGTGACATTTGTAACTTTCTCTTTTTCATTTTTACCTTTACACTTATCAGCCCTTCTCTGTTTTTAGAGCTTTGCTAAGGTTCTGGTTCAGTTCTAGGCTATGTGCTAGAGCTGGGAATAAGGGGACACAATACAACTACATATATTTCAACAGATACCTGAGTGCTGCTGCTAAACTGTTACTACTGCTGCTACTATTGAATTTAAAAATAACCCATATTGCTTATAATTTAATTGAATCTCTTTCCATACAGAGACCTTTCTTTCTCTCATGATCACTCATGGTAGTTAATATTGCAGAGAGTGAACAAACCACACAATATTTTTGTTCATTCTTTATTCAACAAACAGTCCTTAGATAGCAAAGTAATTAAATAAATGTCTTTCTTGGAGATTTAAAAACGTTTCCATAATTCCTAAAGCAGTATTTCATTTTTGATCAAATGTTACTATATAAAAGGAAGAGTTTTTAAGGCGGTCCTTTGAAATTTCTGGGATTAATTCTGTTTTCAGTTCCAAGTACTATACCCTGGAATAGTTGCTGTTCATCAGATGTAGTCCTGATGTGTTGCAACACAACTATGTTTTTTTTTAAAAAACCAAGACATCATGTATTTTGGAAGTCAGTCTCCATGGTGCTTGTTTTAATGGTTTAGCAATAATTGTAAAGTAGACTTTTTCCATTCTTTTTTTTGTTAATTATTGCATTTATAATTCTAATAATATCTGGTTTTGCATTTAGAAATCAATCAACTTTTCTAAGCACTGTATCTAATACAAATTACAATAGATCAAAGAGTATAAAAGGCATCTCTGCATGTAAATTAGTTGTTTCAAAATGTGTGTGTGCTGCTCCACATAGATGCTGTATCTCCATTAGTCCATTTAATGAAGCAGAGCCACTTTCCAGGGGGTGTGGTAGTAGTAGTAAGATACAATACATGTCTGATAGTCTGTCCTTTTGTACCAGACATGGCTGTGAGTACTTGCAAAGTTATCCTGAGCTAAATACATGTTGACTTTTGAAAGACTGAACAATTGGCATCATTCAAATCCCTGGCGGTGCAAGAAATCCATACTTAAAGCATTTTTGGCATATCACCTCTATTTTTTAAAAAAAAAACCCAAAAGGAGATGTGACCAGCCTTACTTGGCTAATCACCTTTAAACAGCCCTCACTTATACCAGGCTTGCCTTAAGCCTAAAATACAGGAGCCCAAGTGGTTGTAAGTTTAGAACACAACAATTTGATCTTTATTACCGTTTCCCCAAAAATAAGACCTAACCTGAAAATAAGCCCTAGTATGAATTTTTCAGGATGATCGTAATATAAGCCCTACCCCAAAAATAAGCCCCAGGTAAGTGAAACCCTGCCCTCCACCATTGTGCAGCATTGTGCAGCAACCAGAAGATAACATGACTATATTGAATTTGTACATGGGAAAAAAATGAAACATCCCCTGAAAATAAGCCCTACTGTGTTTTTGGAGCAACAATTAATATAAGACCCTGTCTTATTTTCAGGGAAACAGGGTAATTACAACAGCTTGTGACATTAAACAGACTTCAACTTCAGGTTACACTGTGTCCCGTGTCGTGCTTCAAACATTCAACCTCTCTTCTTTAGATACAATCTAGCATGCCATATTCAGTCCATTCTTAAAAACCCAACCTCCCTTCTTTAGATACCATTTAACTCTTCTCCCCCTTCCTCCTCTTGAGCTCTTCTTTATATACCTCCTGCTGGCTCCTCTGGATTGATTCTCCTCCAGCCTTCTTCCAGCCAGTCTTCTTACTTCTGTTGTTGCTGGGTAAAATGGGGGAGGGCTCCGTCACCGGAGACTGTGTCACTTCCAAGGTAATTTGTTCCACAGTCTTTCTTGGCAAGGATGCCAGAAAAAGTCTTTCTCATGGGAGTTCCCAAACCATGGACCTCCCTTATGTGAGAGACCAGGCTAGCACCATTTCTGCGGCCCCTGTGGTGGCAAGCAAAGGCCTTTCTTTTTAGATAGGCTTTTAATAAGTAACTGGCTGCTAAGGAAGGCATTTTAGTGTGGGGGAGTTGAAAGTTATTTTTAAATTCTTGTAAATGATTTTTATTTAGCAGTTTTAGTTGCCTTAATTGTTTAAAATGCTACCTTGGGTCTCTTTGTTGGGAAAAAGGAATAAAACAGATATTTAGAAGTGGGTTGCTTCAGTGATTGGAGTATTCTGTGCAAAAGTTTATGGCCCCTGTATTAACACAGCCCAACCTTCACAACTGCAGCACCACAAAAATAGTTTTCCCTTTGTGATGAAATGTTGAAAAGTGTCACTGAAGAGATAATAATATATCTGTGTTTAATAGAATGGATAAAGGAAGCAAAAGTAAAGATTAGAGGGAGTAGTAAGAAGGGTATTAGCAATGCCAGGTCTGGGAAATAGCGAAACTAAGTAGTAGGTACCTTTTGGCTTTGTGTTGTTGTTAATGAAAAGCACTTAAGGAGAATTTACCAAATTCTTTTTAAGTGTTCTTTTCCTCAAAAACAGTTTACAGCTTTTAGCCAAGGTTATGAAACATTCTTCTCTCATAATATGCTTCAACATTTTCGGTTGGTTCCAATACTTCTGTACTTCAAGAAGCAATGAAAATTTAGACTGCAGGTTTAATGGCATTTACATTCATTATTAAAATCAAAGATGTGCA